CTGAGGTCTCATGGAGAGACTAAATGTTGCCCTGAGCAGTGCCAGGAGACCTCAGGGCAAGGCTCCTTCCTCTGGGGTCAGAAAGGTGGTCCTGTGGTCTTACAGTCTGTCCCTTTCAAACCTCTTCTGGGATATTGGCTATGAGACATGTTTTGAATGAGAGAATCTTGGCAACACGTGCATTTGTGATTTGTAGGATTTTGTAGCTCTTATCTGCTCCCTTACTTTCTAGTCTCCTTTATACGTATGGGTGCAGTGGGGCAAATGATGTTTAGGAAGGTTAATGGCAGGGATCCTTTTTACTGTTGTTTGTCCTGCTGTTCTTTAGTTGGTAACATGAGAAATTGGCTGGAGTTTATCTTGCTTTATCTTTTTTTTTTCCTTTTTCCTGCATAGTGTAGGTTACCCTACCCCCACTCCCACAATGGGGTAAGACTTACAGGTATGTCTGAGCATTTTCACCTAGAAGGAATGGTAATTGATTCCCCCTTGAGGGAAACTCTGGTGGGAGTTCATGTAGGAATTTTGTGTCCTTGAACTTCAAGGTGGGGTTTTTGCCCTCTAAGCAGAGTCTGTCTCTCCTGTGACCAGTCTCGATGGATGCCCTGACCCTCACTGCTTCATTTCCAGGTGAGGCGAGCCCTGTAGTGTCTGGATTGGCTGATGAGGGACGGAGGGTGGAGTGTGGCACTGTGCCTTTGTCCTCCACTTGTCCCTGCCCTGAAGCCATGGACTCCTCTCTCCCCAGGGACATCTGTGATGTGCACATTCTTAATGTGCTCAGAGTTGGTTAGAGAAGTTAGCTGTTTGAGAGATCATATTTGTTTAGTTCAGTTTCCTGTCTATACAGTGTACCTGGTTCTGGTTGCAAGAGGAGCAGGAAAAGACTGTCGTCTTGATCTTTTCATCTCCTGCATTCTCTAATCAGTAGTGCTTCTCAGCATTAACCGATTTTTTTTTATCCTAAAAAACTTCAGATACATACAGAAGTACATTTTATTTATCATTTATCCATCATTATGTATCCATTACCTACCTTTAATAGTGACCATGTTTTTGCCACATTTTAGTGTCCTTTTTTAAAAAATTTTATTTATTTATTTATTTTTAGTGTCCTTTTTTACTTTTTTATTTTCCTGAAGCATTTGAAGACCCAGCTCCCACCCATCTATTGTCACTTCATTCCTGCAAACGTTATTATACATCTCTGAGAACACTGACATTTGTTTATATGGTTCTAGTGGCATTAGCATGTCTAACACAGTTGGCAACATTTCTTGTACAATGTGATACCCCATCCCTAATCATGTTTCCTCACTTGTCTCCTTTCAGCAGCTCGTTTATTGGAATCAGATGCCAAAGAAGGTCCTCATGTTACATTTGATTGTTAGGTGTTGAGTCTCTTTGGAGTAGCTCTCCCCTAGGCCTCCCCTTTTCCAGGCCATTTACTTATTGGGACAACAGGCAACTGTCCTATTGACAGGTTTTATACTTTGATATTTTTCTGCTTGATTCCTGGCATTTTTTTTCTATCCTTCCTTATTCCCTTTAAATAAAAATAATGTCTAGAATCTTGATTAGGTCCTGGTTCAATCTTTTGGCAAGAATTTTTAGAATGATGCTATATGTTTCCTATCACATTGCACTGGGGGGCACACAGGTCTGGTTGCTCCTCTTTTGAGTTATGCTAAAATTGGTGAGTGGGTTTAGGTGATAACAGCCTGATCCTTGCAATGTAAAGTTCCTGCTCATGGTCAGGTATTTCATTAGGATTATACATTTACTAGCGGGGTTGTGCATTACCTCAAAAGATAGTTCACAGAGGGGTGCCTGGGTGGCATAGTCAGGCATTCAGCTCTTGATTTCAGATCAGATTGTGATCTCAGGGTTGTGAGATTGAGCCTTACATTGGGCTCCATGCTCAGTGGGATGTCTGCTTGAGATTCTCTCTCTTCTTCTTTCTCTGCCCTTCTCCTCCACCATCGCTCTCTAAAATAAATAAATCTTTTTAAAAAGTTCTTAGAGTAAAGATAGGATGGAGGCATATTTCTTTCCTCCCAAATGCCAATTTTTGTAAAATTGAGTAAAAAGTAGCCTAGTTATTTCCAGTTTTGTTCAATGCCTTGAATCTTTGTCCCTGTGTATGTCTGTCCTTCTCTTTCTCTCTCTGCTCTCCTCTACCCCCATTCCTCACCCCTGAGATCATTGTGAACTGAAGTTTTGTATATTTAATTTGTTTCAGTAGATTGGGTTCATTATTCCTTTTGTTGGTCAGTTGTCCCATTTTTGGCCAATGGGAGTCTTTCATAAATTGGCATTGGTGTTTCTTTGGCATGACTCTCTTGCTCTCTCGCTTTCTGGAATAATGAGATGTCCTGGGCTTATTTTGTAGAATGCTGTTCTGGCCTTGAAATCAGCTGCTCCTCCAAGGATCCCTGTGTCTTTTGGTGGAGAAGGGTATTTAAGGGAAGGGTGTTTTCCTGTTGGTTGTCATTGCTACTAAGTCTTTTTAGTGGATAGAGCTAAAAAAGACATGAATTCAAACTGATAAATCAACTTTTATGTTGGATATTTTTTTTCCCTTAACTTTGACTTTATGTTTGTATTTGGTTTGTCTTATATTGACTTTTTGTTCCTAACAACCTTAACAAAATTACTTATTATTTAATCTTAGTTTATGAACTAAACTAAGTGTTGTTATAACTAACAGACTTGAAAGAAGTTTGATTTCTAAATTTTTTTTAATTTTTATTTATTTATGATCGTCACAGAGAGAGAGAGGCAGAGACACAGGCAGAGGGAGAAGCAGGCTCCATGCACCTGGAGCCCGATGTGGGATTCGATCCCGGATCTCCAGGATCGTGCCCTGGGCCAAAGGCAGGCGCCAAACTGCTGCGCCACCCAGGGATCCCAGAAGTTTGATTTCTTTGCAGCTTTTTTTGTTGACAGAATATGTCCTTCTGTATATAGCATGCTGTCCTTAGATGCCATTTGTGGATGTTAACAGCTTAAAAATTAATTTTCTTCTCTTCATTTCTTTTAAAATTCTACTTATTATTCTCCTGCTTTTGATTTTATTTTTGGAATATATAAAAACATGTTTCCAAAGCCAAAACTACATAACAAGGTACATTCAGAAAAGTTTTACTTCATCTTTGCTCCTTTATCTTCCACAGATAACTGCTTACATTTGGTTTTGTGTTGTCCTCCTTGGGAATTTGTGCATGTCATATGAACAAATACATACATTGACATTTGCATCCCTGCTTTGTCCAAAAGTCAGCATATTATATATATATGCTGTTCTGTCTTGTCTTGATCCCTACATGGTAGACTGGGGTTTGCTCCACTTCATTGCAGAGTGTTCTTCCTCATTCCTTGTTTTTGAGCAGCTAAGCAGCATTTTACTATGAGGAAGTACTAGAGTTGATTGGAGTCCCCACCGATAGGCCTGAGTTTGTCTGCAGTTTTGCTGTGACAGGTTCTGCCTCAATGAATTACTTAGGACATCAGTCACTTCCTGTTTTTGCTAATGTATCTTGGGATGTATCTCTAGAAGTGTGGTTATAGAATAAAGGATAAAAGCATATATAATTTTTCTAGCCACTGACTATATTTTTGCTGAATTTTGGGCATCTGGTTCAATTTCATAATCCTAACATTTCCACTTAAAAGCAGTCCAATTTATTTTGCTACTTTAATGTTGAAGAGATCTCCTCATTTGCTCACTACCCTGTCTTTATATGGAACATACTATTGAAAGTGTTACTTTAAGAAGGGTCTGTTGATGTCATTTAATTAATTAATTGAAGTATCACTTACTTACTGATTATAGCATACAAGAGATGAAAAGATTCTTAAAATATAGTCCTAAACCTCACAGGAGTTCAAAATAGAGTATTTTGGGATTTTTTTTTTCTTTTTTTTATGATGGTCACAGAGAGAGAGAGAGAGAGAGAGAGAGAGAGAGAGAGAGGCAGAGACACAGGCAGAGGGAGAAGCAGGCTCCATGCACCGGGAGCCTGACGTGGGATTCGATCCCGGGTCTCCAGGATCGCGCCCTGGGCCAAAGGCAGGCGCCAAACCGCTGCGCCACCCAGGGATCCCTATTTTGGGATTTATTTTATTTTCTGATCATTCTATTTGTTGTATATTTCATCTCATGTTAGTTGTCAAAAGACGGGTAGTAGGGCACTGGGAAATGTGCCTTTTACCAGAGTGAATGAAGCATGATATGTCTGCTGGAGGAGAGAGGGTGTCCTAAAATATTCTGTAGATGCATTCAACAAATATTCATTGAACACCTCCCTTTCACTGAAATGGAACAGTGAGCAACATACAGAGTTCCTTCCTCATGGCATTTACATCCCAGTACAGGAGATGTGTCAAAGACCAAGGAACAATAAGATGATTACAAGTTCTATATGCTTCGAAGGAATCAAGCCAGAAATTAAAATAGTCTCAGCCAGGGACCTTCTTCAGGTAAGGGAGGGGCAGCTGACACAGCAAGCCACATACCAGGTTGGGAAGAAAGCATTTCAGGCACCAGCTTAAGGTGTTGAGGACTGAAACAGAAGGCACAGCAAGGTGTGGGAGAGAGTGGAGGCAAGGTCATGCAGAGCCTTGGGTTTTCGCTGAAGGGTTTGGAATTTAAGTACCTCAGAAAACCATTGAGGACAATACAGTTAAGGGAATAACATTCAATACCAATATGTCATATATTTATTCTTTCTATAGATTGGAAGGCTACTCAAACGGGATGTTTTAGTTCTAAAGCAAACCTTGTCCTTTCTGAAATTCAAAGCAGATACAGTTTCCCTTCTTGCTCCTCATATGTAGGACAGCTAGCTGCTCCTCATATTCAGGTCTTCTGAGTATTTCTTTTCTTTTTCAATAATACTCCCTTGATGTTGTTTAGATAATTACAATTAGTGGTTATGAATGGATTATATATTTGGGCTATGAACAGGAGCATGATATCTACAAATTCTCTTCTTCAGACCTGCAAATCCAAGAGATACATCTCTCTGGAAGATAAGAGAGCTTCTTCCTCAAGATCAAAAAAGGTCTGTATTGCTTGCTGTCACATTTATATGAAATTAATTATGGAACCAATACCAATTTTCTGTAAAAGAGGCATTTTCAACATATTTACTTATGTTTCTGTTACAGGAGACTGGAGTGAGATCCATGTAGGGAATCCCCAGGAGGAAGGATTGGCACACCTGGAACCCGAGGAGCTTGCTTCCTGGGAAGGCTCCTGTCTGATGTGTAGGAGACAGAATGTCCTACTGACTCTTCAAAGGGAGGCTCCAGGGGATCGAGACCAACACGCAGTATCTCACTCTCTACCACTGGGGACACTGTACAGTCCTTTTTCTAGAAGTGGAAAGTACGAGATTGTTCTACAAGAGGAAGATTCCAGGGGCTTAAAAACACAGAGGTTTGCACCTTGGGAGCCCCTTGGAATGTTGACAACTCAGGATCTAAAGGAAAGTTCTGTGTTAATGAGTTACAGAATTCACATGGAAGTAAATGTCACTTTATGATCAATAATAATACTGAGTGAGGAGCACTATGCAGGAAGAAATCTTCCATAGAAAGACAGGCAGGGAGAAGCTTAGGCCAACCTTAGACCTACCTAATAGAGCAAGCTTGAGATAAACTGCCAGAATGGCCAAATAAGAGACTCTATGAAATAGCAATCCTGTAACTGTAATAGTCATACAGAAATTTTCTCCTCTAAATCACGATACCAAATAGGAAAAATGATCTACAAGTGCCCCATGTGTAGGAATTTTTCTCTGAGAGAGCAGATCTTTTTATGCATCAGAAAATTCACACTGCTGAGAAGCCCCATAAATGTGACAAGTGTGACAAGGGTTTCTTTCATATATCAGAACTTCATATTCATTGGAGAGACCACACAGGAGAGAAGGTCTATAAATGTGATGATTGTGGTAAGGATTTTAGTACTACAACAAAACTTAACAGACATAAGAAAATCCACACAGTGGAGAAGCCCTATAAATGCTATGAGTGTGGCAAAGCCTTCAATTGGAGCTCACATCTTCAAATTCACATGAGAGTTCATACAGGTGAGAAACCCTATGTCTGTAGTGAGTGTGGAAGGGGCTTTAGTAATAGTTCAAACCTTTGCATGCATCAGAGAGTCCACACCGGAGAGAAACCCTTTAAATGTGAAGAGTGTGGGAAGGCCTTCAGGCACACTTCTAGCCTCTGCATGCATCAGAGAGTTCACACAGGAGAGAAGCCCTATAAATGTTACGAGTGTGGGAAGGCCTTCAGCCAGAGCTCGAGCCTCTGCATCCATCAGAGAGTACACACTGGGGAGAAGCCCTATAGATGTTGTGGGTGTGGGAAGGCCTTCAGCCAGAGCTCGAGTCTCTGCATCCACCAGAGAGTGCACACTGGGGAGAAACCTTTTAAATGTGATGAGTGTGGGAAGGCCTTCAGTCAGAGCACCAGCCTCTGCATCCACCAGAGAGTGCACACAAAGGAGAGAAACCATCTCAAAATATCAGTTATATAGAGCGTTTTGCTAAGAGTTAAAAATCTTGAAACCCATAAGTGCCACTAGGAAGGAAACCCTGTAAATACCTACATTGACCCAAGAAATTTTTGCAGCAAGCCCCAGCAGGACATTCTTTTTGAAGAGGCATATGTGAGGTTGGGTTTTTTTTTTTTTATTCATGCCACGTGTGTTCCACAACTTGACTTTAAATCTGGAATCCCTCTGAGTGTCTGCCCAAGATGGACTGTGAGTCCCAGTCATGGGTGTATGTTTCCTGGGATTTGGGCATGATGCCTCAGTAGTGGGAAATGACACAGGAAACTATCATTGCCTAGCCTCCTGAGTCACCATCTGTCTACACTTTACCTAAAAGTTACCCCAGACATCGCCCCCTTCAGGAGCTCATGCCCTTTCTTCTCTCAATTCAGGCATACTGGCTAATGCATTTGAAATGCAAAGCTCCCACAAAGACAGTGTTCTGGTATTTCTGAGGTTATTCCATGGTTCAGCTCCTACATATTGTTCCATATATCCCATTACTTCTGACCCCACTTTACCTGTATGTCTTCACAGTACCCGTAAATATCCACCCCTTCCTAGATGGCATTAAATCTCATTTTAGATTTTAGGTGACTCATAATTTCCATTCACTTGGCCCATCAGAGAAATCACTGGCAGACATACATGCCCTTGAACTTTTCTTGAACTTTGTTTTAAACATGTGGATTCTACTAATCACTGTGTCTCTATGTTAGACTTAATTTTCTAGTGGCTACATCACATATTTTTAACTTGAATTTTTTTGGAAATAGCTGAATGTAAATAGGAAGAAGCAAGGAAGCAAAGTTGGAACTTCTCTCCATCCAGAACTGCCCTCTTGGGCTCCTTTTGCATGGAGCTCCTTTTACCAGCTAGGGGAGACTGTAGGAGAAGATGGTGGGAGGAGTCACTGATATTTAGTCTCTGTTTCTGTAATTTGGGGCAGTAATGTGTGTGTAGGAGTCCTCGATAACTTCATTGAGGATTATGTATCCCTTCATTTTTAGGCATGAATGTCTATGTCACTCATCTCTCCTTTCCTTTCTTCATTCATTCAACAAGTATTTATTGAACACCTCCTATGTGCCAGGCACTGTGCTAGGTGCTGGGAATACCACTAAGACAGACAAGGGCCCTACTCTCATGGAGTTTACTTCTGGTGGAGGAGACAAAGGATACGCAAGTAAGCAAATACATAATGTAGTTTGAGATAGTGATTAAGTGCTATGAAGAAAATAAACTAGGGTGATGATTTAGAGTGGGGGTGGGGTGGGGGTGGGGCATCATTAGCGGTCAGGGAAGGCCTTTCTGAGGGGGGCATTGGAGTGAAGCGCACAAGGCTGGGAGCATTGCTGGTCAGCCCTGCTGTTGTGTTTAGGAGCAGAAGGCGGCCGGGTGCTAGGGTGGAGCGAGCCACAGGGAGGGGAGAGATACTGAGCTGCTCAGTATCCCATCGTTTATAGGCCCCTTTTTTTGTTTATAGGCCCTTTTTCTTTTCTTTCTTTCTTTTCTTTTCTTTTCTTTCTTTTCTTTTCTTTTCTTTTCTTTTTTTCTTTTCTTTTCTTTTCTTTTCTTTCTTTCTTTTCTTTTCTTTCTTTTATTGTGGCTAGATTGATATTAAAAACTCATGTGGAAGAACTCAAGGAATGTATAGAAGACCAAAAGTCCCCAATGACAAGAACAAAAAGCAACTAATTTTTAACTTTGTTTCTCTTCTCATTCCTGTTTCCATTGATTCCCACATGTAGTCCTTATGCTCAGGAAGTCTTGGGGGAAGTTAAGGATCTTTGAAGCTCTGAAATGGGTGAGCAGGTTCATGGTGTCTGTCAACTGTCTTAAGAGGTTGGGAATGAACTACCCTAAATAGTCATCAAAATACTGAAACAAAGCTTGATTTTCTCTTCATATTTGAATTAATTTCTTCTGTTTGACTGGAAGGGGTTTTTGTGTACCTGAAACCTAAGGTGTAAAGGAGATTTAAAAGGAGCACATAATTTAAAGGATGGGCCACAAAACTAGAGATGGGCTTTGGGGATAAATGTGTTCCTCTCTGGATTCTCATCCAGACAGCTATGTTCACAGCCTTTGTGAAGTCCCTTCTCCTGCGTGTCCTCCTTGACCAGGAGAGGGCCAGCCTAGTTCCTGGGTGAAGCCCCTTCCAGGCCTGACGCCCTCGACTACGATTTACTGTAGTGTCTTACCCTCGTCCATGTCACGGTAGCCTGCGGCATTAGAGAGCCGCCTAGACTTTTAGTTGGTAGAGAGACAGCTGAAATATCATCAGTAGGATTTTAGTTTTAGGAAAAATCGGTTTGATTTCTAGCTTTATTACTATTAGGTGTGTGAGCTTGGGCAGATTGCCTAATCGTTGAGTCTAGTTTTCTCACAAAATGAGGACATTAGGCTAAATGATTTCCGAGTTTCCAGCTAGTCCTAGAGTTCTATATTTCTACATAGTTGAATTATTTTATCATGCTGTTGCTGGGGAATATGACTAACACTTTTGAAGCTACTAATTTTATGTCGAGCTTTAAAGTCCATAATTGTTATCTTCGGAAAATATTATTTGACCTACAGTATGTCCAAATCAATTTAATAAAATCACTTTATAACAGGGTTCTGTGCTTCACATGTAGTTGTGTGAATTCAGGGGTCATCTGTGTGTGTGTGTGTGTGTGTGTGTGTGTGTGTGTGTGTGTGTGTGGTTTGGCTTGTGTATTATGCCTAGGGTGACCATATAATTTAATGTCCACCTGGGCTCTTAAGAGTAAAGGGGTGCTGTTAATGAGGACTGCAGGCCTGAACTGGGAATGTCCCAACGAAGCAGGTTGTAAGGACACCCCAGCCCAAGAGTCACAACCCAGGCAAGTAAGAAATGACTAAATTGCACCATGAATTCTTCAGAGGAGTTGCGAGGTCTGTGGCAAATGGGAAAGCGTGCCTAACTGAAGAGATGGCCCTACTGGGCTGTAGCTGTTTATCTCCATGGTAGAATATAGGCCAGAAGTTCCCACACATTCTGCTCATTTAAGGGAAAACCAGCAAGCTGGATTTTTACATAAAGTTTAGTGATTTTTGAGTGTTGGCAACAAATTCACATTCCCTATGGGACCCATCTTGGTCATTTGTATTACCTGCCTAGTGCCTGTAGGCTTTTATTTCACTTTGCAAAGACCAGCTCTGGTCCTCTGATCACTGTGGCCCGCCTCCTGGTAAGGTGTTAACATAATTCTTGGGTTTAGCTGTGGTGACCGTGTTCCGTGCCACAGGCTTCAGCACGGGTTCTGGCGTCTGCTGGCTTTGAGGGGCAAGTCTACGTCCTGCTCCCACATCAAGGCAGAAGTAGTCCAAATTGGCCTTTCTGACAGAGGTTTTGGGAAGAGAGGTCACATGTGAGCTCATGTGTCCCCCATTGAGTCACTCTGGGTGCCTGCTAAGATTCCACAGTTTTTGATTTGGGACCCTGAATACATGGCAGATTGTACCTCTAAGAACTGTCAGATCAAAGAGCCACAAACATCCAGATGGTCTGCTGTAGGGACCAGGGGCACCCAGGCCTGTCACAGACCACCATGAGGAAGTTGTCGGATTCTTTAGTGTTGTGCGAACCTGGACATGATGCCTTCTGAGGGACTTCCCAACTCTTGGTTCTGTTATCCTAAAAAATGTTCAGTTGTTAAACAGTTTTTCTGTACAGCTTGTTATTATCCTCAGGCATTTGAAAAAGCAGGTGAACAGAAAGCAAAAAGTCAGAAGGCCTCAGTGGTGGAATCAAACCTGAGGAGAGAGGTGGGGGAAAGGCTGCTGCCATCGCTGGGCAGGAGCCGAATATAAATAGCGTCGCTAAGTTAAGATAGAGTTAGCGAGAGATGGGGAGAATGACGCTGGCAGAGCTATGACTCTGTGCCTTATGCAGCTTCCTAGCTTCCCCAAACCTCAGGTTTCTTACCTATAAAATGGTTTTGCATATTACCTAACTTGTAAAGTAGTTGGAAGGACTAAACAAACCTACATAAAGTGCCTAGTATGTAGTAATACAAGGGGAGGAAAACAATTCCCATTGCCTATTAAGGAAGATGGGTCCCCTTATTTGGAGTTCTCTTCTGCTGAACCACACTGTATTGGGTTTGGACATCTAAATTTGGGGGTAGATCCTAGAGAGAGCTGAATTGCTTCATGTGAGTAGAGCCAGCAGAACATGACTCTCCCAGGGTAGTATGGAACGTGAAAAGAGAGGATCCCTGGGTTTAACGCCTGCTTTTGGCCCAGGGCGCAATCCTGTAGTCCCGGAATTGAGTCCCGCATCAGGCTCCTGGCATAGAGCCTGCTTCTCCCTCCTCCTGTGTCTCTGCCTCTCTCTCTCTCTCTCTCTCTCTCTCTCTGTCTATCATGAATGAATGAATGGATGAATAAATAAATAAATAAATTTTTAAAGATTAAAAAAAAAGAATTGGAAAGGTAATTGGAAGAGAGAGACCTAGAGGTTTCATAGATGAACCCTTCTGACCTCAGAATCCCTCCTTAAAGTTTTGGGATGCTTGGTCGAGTGGATTGCTCATAGAAACTGGAAGGACTGAGTGCTGTCTCCCAGCTGGAATGGGCTACAGCATCTGTACTACAATAAAAATAAATGTTTGAGCCAGAAGAGGGTAGCCAAGAGACCAGGAGCTCCAAGGGGTGCAGAGAAGCCTTTAGGAGAGTTTCAAGCTGCCATAGGCCATGTTTACCCAAAGCCTGACAGGGTGGGGAGGCCTCTAGGTATCTGTTACTACTCATAGTATGCATAGGTAGAATACTTTGAAGATCATGAGTAAATTGGGACATATTTTTATTTAATTTTTTTAAAGATGTATTTGTTTATGATAGAGGCAGAGACACAGGAGGAGGGATAAGCAGCCTCCATGCCAGGAGCCCGACGTGGGACTCGATCCCGGGACTCCAGGATCACACCCTGAGCCAGAGGCAGGCGCTAAACCACT